GGGGGGGGGGGGGGGCACCGGGAAAGAAGGGGGGGTCTTCGCGGGTCGGATGTCGAATTCGCGCGTGAACTTCGCCGAAAATCGCTAACAGCTCACTTCGGACCATAAATCACGATTTTCCGGCCCGGGGCGACGAAGGGGGTGGAAGGAGGGAGGGGGGTTACGGTTAAGCTCTCGCGGGTTATCTATCAACGTGCACGGTCAAATGCCTGCATGTTGCCAGGTTGGATGATTATCTGCGGGCTGATTGTTGAAATGTTTAGACAAAGCGATAGACGAAGAAGACATGAGGAGTATGGAGCTATCCTGTTGGTTGAGATTATCCCGTAGGAGTCACACTATTCAACCAGTATGATCGCTCCACACTCCATATGTCTGCTTTGTCTATCAATTTCAATAATCAGCCCGCTGCTTACAGATCAAAAGATAAAATGATGCCTGCCTGCTTTGCGCATTGCAACCACCTGCTTCGACCAATAGGACACCTTAATATCCTTTTTGTCTTTTTTGTATTATCGCTTTATCTGCCGATTTCAACAAACAGCCCGCTGTGCTCGGAACTATGACGTTTTTCAATTCGTCATTCCTCTTACGAAAGAACGTAATTACATTCAAATGTTGTCAAATTTCCCCTCGAGAATCTCATTCTTACCGGGAATATCTTGGGCATTTCTACCTGAAAATTTCACTAATTTTACTTCTGATCTTCTGCGAAAGTCGGACAAATTTTAGACAAGAATTGCACGGGTACATTCTCGTAAAAACTTGAACGGTCAGAGTCAATTTTGCAACCTTGAAATGGAGTTACGTTCCATGCTTCGTCCGGGAATGGAAGAAATTGAACCTTACAAATGGTCAAGACCCACCCGCACTTATCTCCGCTACGACCGAATTTGCACATCGCAAGGAAACGATTGAAATGAGACCAATTCTAAGTTTAATTGGTTCATTCCAAGACGAAACGACTCCGAAAACGTCAAATATTCTTTTAGTCGCAAGAAACACGGCTATTAGAAACGTTAGGTTTTCGTCGTATAAAAAAAAAAGATTTGTATGCATTATAGTAGTTCATAATTTTTTTCTAATACAATGCACCCCCAAAACTATTCAAAATCAAAGATCGAATTAAACGTCAAATAGTGAATAATATTAGAAGATGTAAAACTCAGAGCAGAGGGTGATGCAAGAAATACAGAGAAACACATAGAAAAAAATGAGTTGTAAGGACAGATTTTTCCGCGAGAAACAATAATTTCAAAATCTTAAACGAGCGATTTCGACGGTAGACCATATGGAGATGCAGGGGTGCAGAATGATACGGTTGAATCAGGCACATACATACACAGAAGAACATGAGGATACAGGAATATGATAGGAGAGCTGGAGAACGTCGAAGAAGAAGAAGAAGAAGAAGAAGAAGAGAGGAACATTAACTAAGGGGAAGAAGTCTACACATGCGGGAAAAGAATCAGGATAGGCGCGAATGAAATAACCAGAGGTAACCTCGGATGACCGAGGGGTTGGCATGATTCAGTATTGCTAACATTTATGTTTCGTCTTCAATGAGTTGTCGGAAATAATAATCTCACTATCAAATCACATCATGGAGTCTGCCAGTGGTCCTTTCCCAGAGGCTAGGCGAGAATGATCGATTATCGATTTTTCTCCATTTAAAGCTATGATAAAGAATCGATTATTGCGGCGTTAGTTCCCAACACCCTGTTTATCGATCATTTTCCATAAGTTTAAATGGCGTATCAATCGATATATCGCAAGGCACGCCACTGTTCTTCACTTGTGAAATTTTGAATTAAATCACATATTTGAACACTTCGTGGTTAATTTTTAGGCAGATGCATTCGTCTCACTTCAAGCGATCTGATCTCGCTACGAGCAAATATTTCCGACAGTCTCCTTGAACCTAAACCACGCTACGGACATCTACATAGGACGGGAGGTTGCCTTTCATTTTTTGATCAATCGAATCAGTCGTGCGTGGGATCCGAAGTTCGGGTCATATGGATCTCTGAAGTTTTCAGATTGAGCATCTGAACTCTTAAGGTCTAGCTGTCGAGGTTCGGATGACACATCTGAAACTTCAGTTCTTACATCAGAAGTACTTCAGATGTGAGAACCGAAGTTTTTCGGATGTGAGAACCGAAGTTGTTCGGATTTAAAAACCGAAGTACTTCAAATGTAAGAACTGAAGTTTCAGATGTGTGATCCAAACTTCAGTAGCTGGACCTCAAGTGTTCGGATGCTCAATCTGAAAACTTCAGAGATCCATATGACCTAAACTTCGGGTAGCACGCACGAGGTTTTTTCCTCCGTGTGTGACACGCGCTGATCGAGGCTAGAGTCCCTTTATACTGAGAGTCAAGACAACACCCCTCATGGAGTCACAAACGGGAATAAAGATTACAGAAATTGAACGTTTTTCGTAATCTTTGATCGGCCCATTCTCGAATTCCTTTTTTCGTTCCTTCCCTCATTCCGTTTGTTCCTTGCCGAACCCGTAATTCCCCGGTCCATTCCAGATTATAATCTTTGCAATCGGTGAAACTTTAAGCTTTATTCCCGTTTGTGACACTGTGAAGGCTTAAAATCCGGTTAACCAATCAGAAATGGATTCGCATTGTCTTGACTCTCAGTATAAAGGGACTCTAATCGAGGCGAGAGACGTGGATGCAGAGGAGGACGGGGGTCGGAGAAAGGAGGGGACTCACCTGTCATGATGCCCATCGGAGGGGAAGGCGTGGACTGATCATCTCGGCCCTTGGCGGCCTTCGCGGGAGGCGTCGCGGCGGGCGTCGCGGGCGCCGCGGGTGCGGGCGAGGGTGCGGAGGGTGGAGCCGGCGCGGACTCGCTCTCAGCCAGCTTCGGGTTGGGGTTCACAACTATCACGCCGGATGTCTCCAGGTCTACCGCCGAGATCGCGCACCCCTACCGACCGAATCCTCCGGGATTACACCGCCTTCCGGGGTCCCGCCACAGGCTCCATCCCGAAGATCCCGAAATTACAATTGCGATCGCTGAATGCTACTCAATCCGAACTTGTCATTCCATCAAAGTTCGAAGTTTCCAACCCACTTTACTCTACCGATGATTACAGTCACTAAAACTGAAACGTGCACGACTTAAGTTCAATAAGAGTTACTCAATCCGAACTTATCATTCCATCAAAGCTCGAAGTTTCGGACCCATTTTCTTCTACCGATGATTAAAGTCACTGAAACTGAATCGTGCACGACTTTAAAAGTTCCAAGTTGTGAGAGTGTCGAAATGCGACAATAGCTGATTTTTACTTTTTTCTAACCGAGCGTTTGAGTCGCCTACTGGCAGCTTGCTCCAAGTGGAATAATAGAAAGTCGCAATGCACCAATTTAAATTGACACCAGCCGCGATCGGTAGGAATCACTCAATCCGAACGGTTCTCGAACTTATCATTCCATCAAAGTTCGAAGTTTCGAACCCACTTTGTTTTACCGAGAATTAAAGTCACTGAAACTGAAACGTGCACGACTTTAAAAGTTCCAAGTTGTGAGAGTGTCGAAATGCGACAATAGCTGATTTTTACTTTTTTCTAACCGAGCGTTTGAGTCGCCTACTGGCAGCTTGCTCCAGGCGGGATAAAAGCACCGAATTTCAAGTACGGTGTCCTTAGTAATCGTTACTAACAATGTCTAAAGATAGATTTCGCAATTTGGTTTGGTTTCAAACAATGATGAAACTCAACGAGAGATATCCTCGAAATTTTTGACTGACGAGTGACGGGTAAAATTAAGGATTGCGATTTTCACAGTTTGTGAGTATTGCTCATTAGTAATTGTTTGTGGGCAACTGATGCAAGTATTGCAGCGAAAAATCGAGTGTTTGTCTTCGTAGAATACGGTTTTGATGTCAGTAGTCACACAAGCAAGTTCGCTGGAAAAGATACAAACAACGAACTATTAAAAAGAAGCATGGAGTGGTAACTTTCCTGAGAGGGTAAGATCTTTATTCCGGCCGGCAAATTTTCTTCCCAAAGAGCATGCGACCATAACCAAACTTGGAATAAATTGACAGCGCTGAATAAACCTCGTGGGCCATCTAAAGTCTGAAATTATTTTTACAGCTTCCAGAAGGGTTCAGCTTTCTTCCGCTCATTTTGCTCAGATGAGAGCATTATTTATGCATGGACATGATCAGTAGATTTTTTATTGTGCTTTTGTGATTTTTTTCAGCAAGACCATTAAGCTAAAAATTCCCACAATCTCTTGCATTTTGCTGAAAGTAATTTCATTTTACCTCTTGTTTTGATCGAAAGGAATAACTTGGGGAAATCTTATACATAAGAACAGCATATCCTCGCGTTCATCGAGGAAGTTAGAAGTTCAGAGCTTTTTCTCTTAAAGCACCAAGTTAACTAATAGGAAAAACCCAATTAAGTATTCGGTGATGCACATGGAGTGGGATGTGGGGAGGGTGATTGCATTCGTGAAATTGTGTTACGTGAGGATAACGTTGCAACGATCTAAATTATTATAAGAAACATTAGGCGTTTTATTTGGCGATAAGAGAAGAGGAAAAAATTGTGCCGAACGTACCCAAAAATAGGTGCAGATTTGGATAGTTTCCCTACACTGGTAAAAAAAAAAACCTCATTGGATCTAGAGTCCGGACTCTTAAAAACATCGACAAGAAAAAATGCTCTTGATTCAATCGGATTTCAGCTTAAATCAAGAACCAAGCCTCTTAATTTGAGCGGATGTCTTTTTGATTTGAGCTTAAATCTGATTGAATCAAGAGTATTTTTACTTGTCAATGTTTTCAAGAGTCTGGACTCTAGATCCAATGGTTTTTTTTTTTTTTTTTTTTTTCCAGTGTAAAGTGTCACTTAATTCATATGAGGACCTCTCCCTGGCGTTTGGTACTTCATAACGGAGGCGTTTGGGGAGATAAGTCAGGAAAAGTCGTCACATAATCCTTGTAGCACTCGTTCGCCCCCTCACCACGACAGCCCCTAAAGTTGAAATCTCCGCAATTCCACATGCAAATCAGCATACAGAAACAAACTCTCCGATTAAACAATGGTAAGAAATTCAACGAGGTCAAATGCACTTGTCCCAAGCCGCGCTCATATTGTGCTTTGCAACTATGTAAGAGGGTTGTACCGGCACAATCCCGTTTTATTGTCACAGGGTTGTCAAACGGATGCTTGGATAAAAGTCTTCTCTCTCAGTGTCAATTCGTCGATCCTCTGACGTTAGGGCAAATCTATATTTCCACATGAGCTCTGCGCTCCGTATGACTAGATGTTTTCCGCGGCTCATGTCGAAATAGAGATATGCCCTTACGTCATACGGGCGACGAATTGAGGGGATTCGGAAATTTAAGAGCAAACTGACAGTGATGTACCGAGGTGAATTTTATTGCCTTTGGCCGTGACCCCCCGACCAACGCCTTACCGCCGAGAAAATTTGTCTGCGAGGATAAGATCTCACCCTCTAGGATTTAATTTTTAATGATTCGACTCGTACATTTATGACGCACCTGTTCTTTGGAAGCGATAAAATAAGGTGCATCTACTTGTAGTTGCGTTCATTTTTTTTTTTAAAAGATTCTGCAAGGTGGTTTATTTATCAAGTTGTTGAAATCTTTCTTTTAAAATTGTAGTTATCGTAAAATCATCAGCTCATGAATCGTTTCATTGTTCTCCAATTTTATTCAACTTAAATTAAAAGTGATAAAATGGTTATCGAGGATTTCCAGCATTTTTTAAATTCACTGTCATCTTCATCAGTGATGCATCATGTTCATTGGACAGAAGATGGAGTAAATTCAAAATTGCTTGAATAACTCTTAAAATATGAGAAATGTCATCCTTTTTATACATCAAGATGAGAGAGAGAGATATCAACAAGTTGCTCAGCTGTAATTAGAAATTTAAAATTGTGAGTCGACCTCTTTTTTTCTATTAACAACAACAAGTGATTTACCTTTTTCTGAGAGGGTAACTTTTTAAATATATTTTTTGAGGTAATACAGACGAGGATAAACAATATTAGATTTTAATGATACAAAATACTCAAAACTAAATTAATGTTTTATAAATAAGTGAGCGTTTCCATTGCAGCGCAGCCACACTAATCGCTTGGGATGCTACCGTTATTTGGCACATGCATTTTAATCCTGTTTCATTCATTATTCTTTACCTCTAGGTTAACAAAAACGCAAATTGCATACTGTTTGAAGACTGTGTCTCTCGACTTAGGTCGACGTCTGAATTTAAAACCAAAAAAGTTTTAGGTGCTGAGTTTATGATGTGATCCGGTTCCACAATATGACAGGCTTCAAAGAGTGAAAAAAAAGAAACATCAAGAGGTACCTACTTCCGCTGGTAATTTGTAATTTAAGCTATCGAGCCCTTCGTCCTTCGAACTTCATACGCTTTCGAAGTGGTTATTGCACTGTATATATGAATTTTCAATTTTATGACTGCAAGAGTTGAAAGAGGAAATTCTACCCTTTGACACAAACATAGACTTCAAAGTACCGAAGTGAAAGCCCTCATGTCGAGAGATGGAGCTCACGTTTTACACTTGTGGTCGCACCGCAAGGTTCGATCAAAATTAGACGAATTTCCATTTCGAAATGTTCGGATCTACACGCGCAATCCGGCAGACATATCTTGAGAGAGTCGCGGAGGTTCTCATAGAGACGAAGTAATGCGACAGGGACGTTTCTGCACTTCTATATGAGCCCTTTGACAGACTCAAAGGGCTTATTATGAACTGCAGATACGTTTTTATTTCAGCAATCTACCTACCTACGGGAGAGAAATACTCTAACGGGGTATTATTTAAGTATACTCTATCCTGATCACCTCCGCATTTTTTGTGACTCCTGTTTAGTATTTTCTTTTCTGAAGCGTGACAAAGGTAACACCCCCCCCCCCCCCCTAATCTGTCTCTACGCCACCCTCTTCAGAATAAACCTCCCCATCCATACTTCAAGTCCTTTCAAAAGGCTCGGCGAATTTCCCGAGCCTTTGTCTGTGTCCCTTGCCTTCACACTTTTCAATTTTTATATTGTTATTTTCTTCCGCCCTCGCTTCGGTTCCTGCTTCAATTTTACAGCTTTTTCAGCCCGGCGCAGCGAAGGTTCTGGAAAATTCCGAGAACTGAGATGTTCGCAATGAACAGGAGCATAAGTGCTGTAGCATCTTCTACGACTTCGACATGTTTTTTCCTAGGAGCTGTTTGAATGTGACTGATGTAACTTATTTTTATTTTCCCTCTACGTTCTATATTTTTTGGTGCCTGTGACGGGAGAGGCATAAAATCTGAGCACCAGGTGTTTTTTCTCTGTCAATTTCGAGGTATTTGAACTGTTTATTACGTCAGACAGAAACGGTCTTTGTAGGTAATTGAGAGAAAGAAAGAAAATTAAAAGAAAGAAAGAAAAAGTAACAGAATAAAATAGGACAGGCGTTGAAATGCCGCCTTCATTTTAGAAAATTAAAATGTATATCTTTCACCTCTCACTAATCATCAAGCTATGAGGCTCTTTACTGCCAAAATTCAGGATTTAGAAGAACTCTTTTCATCCTTCATTGCACCGCGCTTAAAACAAATGCCGTGCTTAGATCTTAGCCTTTGATATAATATTCGTAGGTAAGCCAAAATTTCATTGGTGGCTTGATGATCAACTGACTGCACAATCGCAATCTTGCAGGCAAATGCTACTCTGCCCTGCTACGGAAAAACGTCGTATGAACCTTCAGGCGTTGCCAAATTTCCTTTGATAAAACACAAATTTCCTGATGAAATAATGAATATTTTCCTTCCAGTTTTTCAGATAATTTTGTTTGCGATTTCACCCGAAGTTCCTAAAATTTCAAGGAAAAACATCCATACATTTCCTCAAAAATACACATTTTATCGAAGGAAATTTGACAACTCTCGAATGTTCACGCGGCGTTTTTCCTTAGCACAGCAGTACTCTAAAAATCAACGCGCAGGAGATTGTATATTTTCCAGGCTTTACTGAAAAAACACGAGTGGTACAAAGGAAAAAATCCGGAGCTTCTTGCGGAAGATCCGCACTTTTTCGGTGCTTCCGGAACGCCCTTAAAATATCAGCACTATTTCCGGACTTTCCGGCAATTCCGGACTAGTCGACACCCTGCAAAACTCTCCGAGCCTCATCGCACCGCGGCCGCGACTTAATCAATTTCCGGAGGATTTAATCCCTTCCCACACCCCCGGTCTTAAAACTGCGTTTTTCGAACGGCGTGATATGAAAAACACTCGACGAATCGCAAGCAATGGGCCTGTTGCATGCAAGAGATACAGCCGTGCGAATAGACTTTTTAGAGGTTAAATGACACGAAAATTACGATGGACACCTTAAAAAAGTCTGAAATACACTCCTTACTGCGCATTTTGCGTTGTGAGGAACGCGCTTTTTTAAATTTCCCGCGTCTGGGGGCAGTTTTCTAACGGAGACAATTAACGGCAACTCGCGGCTATTTCCGGTCAACTAAAACTGACAACATAACCTAAAAATCGGAGCTCGTGATATCGTGAACTGAAATGTAGGAGGATTGCGTTGGATATTTAAAAGTTGATCGATTTGGTTACCGCATAAAGCGTATATGGATCACTATGAGAGATCACGTTGGGTTTGTAAACAAACTGATGGAAAAAATAACAACAACAACAACAACAATGACTCGGCATCTTCCGGAAATCACCGAGCCCGCCGTTTGCTCGTTTCCGGTGATTAGAAAACTGCCCCCAGACGCGGGAAATTTGAAAAAGCGCGTTTCTAACAACGCAAATTGCGCAGTAAGGAGTGTATTTCAGACTTTTTTAATGTGACCATCGTAATTTTCGTGTCATTTAACCTCTGAAAAGTCTCTTCGCACGGCTGTATCTCTT